CGGTGGTAACATACCCCTTTAATCCCAGCAGTAGGGAGGCAGAGGCAGCTGGATCTCTGCTACAATAAATCTTTCTGCCAAAAGCCGCCAAGCCCCACCGCCACGTGCGTACTCTACACCAGGCACCCACCTAAGTTAGGGCCCCAATTAATGCACAGAGAGACTTGTATTAGGTACAATGCGGCTTGGCCAATGACTAGGATTCTCATCTGATAGCTCCGTGTTAATTATCATAAATCTATATATTTTATAAGACTTATCTTATAGAGGATGCCTTTTGCTGGCACCCTCTCTTGCCGGTGGCTCGCATCCTGCCGCTGGAGGAGGCGAAGGGAAAAAAGGGGACACTTCCTATTTCTTCTTTCTTAAATATGAATCTCCTTGCTATGTCACCTCCTGCCTGGATCACCACTTCTCTACTACATTTCTGAGAATTCTCTTTGACTCCTAGTCCTGCCTAACTTGCTGCCATTGGCCAAACAGTATTTTATTCAATAATCAATAAGATGAACATACACAGTACATTCCCCATCATATCTCTATGAGTTCGAGGCCAGCCTGGTCTACAAGATATAGTTCCAGGACAGATTCCAAAGCCACAGGGAAACCCGGGGTGGGGGGGGGGGGGGGGGGGGTGTGGGGGGGGGGGGGGGGGGGGGATAAAGAAAAAACAACTAGGGATTGAAATATAGCTAGGTGGTAAAATGCTTGCCTACAATGTAGGACATACTGGGTCCAATCTTCAGCGAAAGGGTGGCCAGAGATGGGAGAGCATTTGCCTAGGATGCTCAGAGCCTGGGCTGCATCACCATAAACCCGTGAAACCGCATCATTGGAGAGCACAAGGAGGAGGATCTGAGGTCATCTTCGGCTACATACCGAGTCAGAGATAAGAGGTGGTACCCTGTACTACTGCCCACCTCGAAAGGCAACAAAGAGTGTCTTAGTTAGGGTTTCTATTGATGTGAAGAGGCACCATGACCACAGAAACTCTTATAAAAGGAAACATTTAACTGGGTCTGGCTTAGAGTTCAGAGATTTAGTCCATTATCCTCATGGCAGGAGACAGCGACATGTGGGCAGACACAGTGCTGGAGAAAGCTGAAGACTCTACATCTTGATCCACAGGCAACAGGAAGTGAACTGTCACACTGGGCACGGCTTGAACATATATGAGACTGTAAAGCCCACCCCTATGGTGACACACTTCCTCCAATAAGACCATGCCTACTCCAACAAGGCCACATCTCCTAATAGTGCCACTCTCTATGGGCCAAGCATTCAAAAACATGGGTCTTCAGCAGTCAAACCTATTCAAACCACCACAAAGAGTTAGGAGAAATGACAAGGAGGAAGAGAAAGAACACCTGTCCCCAAACTATTCCTGAAAGTAGAGAGGGAAGAAACACAAATCTCATTTCACAAAACAAGGTTACTCATACCAAAACCAAGTAACATACAAGAACAAAGACAATGAGAAAAAGCTATCGCCCAGCTCTCTGGATGAATGTAGATGTTCTCAATAAAATACCAAACCACTGGGAAATCAGAGCAAGTGACGCCCTGTGTTTGATCCTCACCAGTGTAGTTTAATGAATTAAAATGCCTTCAAACAAAATTCAGCCAAATATTAAAGAGATCACACACCAAGATTCTGTCAGTTTCATTTCAAGAATTCCCCTTCACCAAACAGAAATCAATAAGTAAAACACGAAAGGCACATAAATCTAATCAAGGACAAAAATGAAACGGCCGTCTCCGAATACACAGGAAAAAGCCTATGACAAAGTTCCACATCACTTCACACTAAAAAGCCTGGAGGAATCTGGGACAGAAAGATAAAGTCACAGCAAGACAAAGGTAAGACAGGACAGACTCACAGCCAACACTACAGCAAAAAGAGAAGAGGTGAAAAGACTTGCTCTAAAGTCAGGTATGTCCACTCTCTCCATGCTTCTCTAGTACGGAGCTTGTGTTCTCTAGCAGAGTAAGGAATAAAAAGGGCACAGGTGGGGGAAAGGTCAGATTATCCATTTGCAAATGGTGAGGTCTACACTTGAAAGACCAGCCTCAGCCAGGCAGTGTTGGTACACACCTTTAGTCCCAGCACTCAGGAAGCAGAAACAGGCAGAAAGCTCTGTGAGCTCGAGGCCAGTCTGGTCTACTGAGTGAGTTCCAGGATAGCCAGAGCTGTTACACAGAGAAACCCTGTCTGAGAGTGGGGGATGGGGAGGGATAGTTGGGTGGTGGTGGCTCACAACATAATCTCAGCACTTGGGAAACAGAGGCAGGTGGATCTCTGTGAGTTCGAGGCCAGCCTGGTCTATAGAGTAGTTACAGGGCAGCCAGGGCTACAAAGAGAAAACCAGTCTAAAAAACAAACAAAACATCCCAATAACACCCCTCATAGAAATAAACAACCCTAAAGTTTGTATGAAAATACAAAGACCTCGAATAACCATCAAAATCGTACAAAAGAGCAATGCTGGGGGTCTAAAATATCTGACCTCAAATAATTCCAGAGCCGCAGTAACAAAACAGCATGTGCTGACACAAAGCAGACACATAGACCAATACAACAGAATAGAGAACCCAGAGCTGAAAAGACAGCCCAGTGGCTAAAGAGCACTCACTGGCTGCTCTTCTAGAGGACCTATGTTCAATTCTCAGCACCCACATGGTAACTCACAACTGTCTATTACTCCAGTCAAGGGGATCCAATGCCTTCTTCAGGCCTCTGTAGGCACCAGGCATGCAAGTGGTAACATAGACATACATGTAGGCAAAACCTCACACACATAAAATAATATGTCTTATTAAAAGAGAGAGAGAGAGAACCAGAAACAAACCCACACAGGTACAATCCCCTAAGTTCGGCAAAGTTTAAAGGGCAGCCTTTTCTGCAAAGTGTCCTGGGAAAACTGGATAGCTGTGTGTAGAATGAAACTAGAGCCCTCTCTCACCCTGCTCAAAAAATCAATTCAAATTGGATCAAAGACCTGAATGTGCAGCCTGAAAGGAAAAAATAGAGACTACACTGTAGACAGAGATCTAAGCAAGGAGTTGTTGAAAAGTAATGGCTCAAGAAATAATATGGAGAATGACTGATGGGGCGGGAACTAGAGAGTTGGTTCAGAGGTTGAGAGCACCTGTTGCTCTGGTTGAGGGACCTGGGTTCAATTCCAAGTACCCACATGGTGGCTCACAACTGTCCATTACTCCACTTCGGGTGGATCTGACACTCTTTTCTGAACCCCAGAGGCCCCAGGAACACACATGTGATCCACATATGTACATGCATTAAAGCACTAATACACATAAAGCAAAATAAACAAAGCTAAAAAAAGAGAAAAAAAGAATTAATTCAGGTAGGCACACACCTTTAGTCCTAGCCCTCTGGAAGCAGAGACAGACAAATCTCTGAGAGTTTGAGTCTAGCCTGGTTTAAACAGAGAGTTCCAAGCCAGCTAGGGCTACATAGTGAACCCCGTCTCAAGGAAAAAAAAATTAAAGAATTGACTAATGGGATTGCAAGAAATTAAAAAGCTTTTCACAGCAAAGGAAACCAGCAGAATGAACAGACAGCCTGCATAATGGGAGAAAATCTTTGCCAAGTAAACATCTGGTGGGGAATTAAATATCTTGAATCTGTAGAGAACTCAAGCCAGACTTACTGGCTCACACCTGTAATCTCAGGACTAGGGAAGATGAGACAAGACTGCCAAGAGTTTGAGACCAGCCCAGGCTACGAGCCTGCAGTACATACAGTGTGAAAGCCTGTCTCAAAGAGACAGACAGCAAACAGACTCGCAGGTGTGATGGTAGCGCATGCTTGTGATTCCAGCACTGGGAGTTGGAAGCAGGATCACAAGGTCAGACTTGTTTATGTAATAAGTAAAAACCAGCCTGGGACACATAAAAACTAGTCTCAAAAAAACATGGGAAGACACCTGTTATGGCTTGAACAAGAATGCCCCATAGGTTCATATGAATACCTGGTTGCAGGTTGGTGGAATTGTTTGGGAAGGATTCGGAGGTGTGGCCTTGTTGGCAGAGGTGTGTCACGGGGGGATGGCTTTGAGGTTTCAAAAAGAGTCATCAGGGCATTCCCAGTGTGTTCTCTGCTACATGGCTGTGCATCAAGACGTGAATTCTCAGTTGCTACCCTGCCATGTCTAATGCCCACTTTGTACTACCTCTTGCCATCATGGATTCTAACCTTCAGGAACTATAAGCCCAATTAAACACCTGCTCTTATAAGGGGCCTTGGTGGTGGTGTTTTATCTCAGCAATATAAAAGTAACTAAGACAACATCCCAGTGTCAACCTTTGGTCCCCATATGTTCACACACACACATATTATAAACATAAATCTATACTAGTACATATAAATTCTATCTCCATGTGTACACACAGAGAAGAAAGACAGGAAACAAATACTACCCAAAACCTACTCCTATTTAAACTGCAAGAAAAATTAAAAGACACAGAAAGGGGGTTCCTCAAGATGGCTGGGGGGATAAAGGAGCTTGCCACCAAGCTTGATGATCCAAAGAACTATAAGGGTGAAAGGACGAAGCTGACTCCTGCAAAGTTGTCCTCCACTTAGGCATGACGGCACACAGTCACACACACACATATAATATATGTACTAAATTTTTTTTTTTTTAAGAGAAGGGCTAGAGAGTTGGTTCTAAGGTCAGGAACATTGGCTACTCTTCCAGAGGACCTGGGTTCAATTCCCAGCATCCATACGGCAGCTTATAACCATCTGTAATCCAGTTACAGGGGATCCTACACCCTCTTCTGCCTCTGAAGGCACCAGGCATGCATGTGGTACACAGATATATACCTGCAGGCAAACACCCATACACACAAAATGAAAGCTAAATTTAAAAAAAGAAAGAAAAAGCTTTGCATTAATAGAGAACATTTTCCTCACATCATGAAAAGCACAAGACATTTTTTTTATCCAAAAGAAAGCCATTTATTTCACTTACTAGCATGCTTATCGGCAAGCATTATAAGTGTGTTGGAGATATCACGTCGTCTATAGAAGCATACGACTTTTGCTTCCACGTTGCCACTTGCAGTCTAAGAAACGAGAAAAATGAAAGTCATGTGGGGCCTGAAGTTTCCATGATAAAATGTGCTGACAACCCACCCCTGCACTTGGAACTAACTCAGAAGGATTTCGTAAAGTTAGCGGCCAGTCTGGTCTACGGTAGAGAGTTCCACACCAGCCAGGCCTAGGTAGCAAGACACTGTCTCAAAAAAGCAAACAACAATGAGACCTGGAGAGAAGAAAAGGGAGAAAGAGCTCCCCCAGTTTTGTGTGTATGTATGTTATGAGACAGGGTTTGACATAGCCCAGGCTGGCCTTGAACTCATTAACCTCTAGTCTCCGCCTCCCTCAGGCATTCACAACCATACCAACCAGATTAAGCCCTCCAGGTTTAAAAGCCACAAATAATTTCTTCTCGGCACTGAATGTAGTCATCTTTGAAAAGCATGGCTGTACATTGCACAAACCCATCCCCAGAAGGCCTCAGGTCTACAATGACTCTCTGCAGGGGGCAGTAGCCAGCAGGACAGAACTGCAAAAAAAAAAAACACCCTCCACACAGTCAATAGTCTCTGTTTTCCTTCACATATGAAAATATCCAAAACTGTAAGTTCCCAACACGGGACTCTTCTGATTAGAGTCTAGAATACAATCGGCATTCAGTTGGGCTGTAATTTACCACAGCTGAGGCCCAGGCTCCTAGTCTAATATCTATAAATTCTTCAGGCTTTCAAGCAGGTCGATCATTCACTGGCAAGCTCTTCATAAAAACACACAGATTACAATAAAATGTTACTGTAATGTCCAATTCCTAATGTGCATGGCACACGCTTTCAGAATGTGTCTGGGCTTAAAGATATATTCAAATATAAAGAACATACACCATACTAAATTTGTCAATTTTACCCCAAGTTCAGCAGCAATATTTTAGTTCAGCAGCAATATTTTAGTGAGAAATGGTACTGTGGAGATATTGCCCCTTCAAATTGAAATCATATTAAGTTCCTACCCAAATGCCAATATATTTCATAATGTTGTGATCAAACTCATCCTCCAGAAGCAATGATCCAGCAATCTGCTAAATGAACAGGCCGATATTTCTATGTAAATAAAATCTAGGGCTTCACTCTAAGCGTTTTCTCATTTCTGTCTCATTAGTGAGCTCTCCTAACAGCAATGCTCTGCAAAAATGACTAAGTTCGCTGTTAAACCTGCTTGAGGGATAAAGATATAGCTCAGAATATTTCTTTCTCTTTTTTTTTTTTTTTTTTTTTTTTTTTTGGCTTTTGAAGACAGGGTTTCTTTCTATCACCCTGGCCATCCTGGAACTTGCTATATAGACCAAGCTGGCCTTGAACTCACAGAGATCACCTGCCTCTACCTCCCAAGGACTGGGATTAAAAGGGCGTGCCACCCCACCCCCCTTTTAAAGTCAAAATCTCACTATATAACACACTCTTGTCTTATAACTGGCCATCTTCCTGCCTCAGCCTACCTAGAGCTAGAATTAATAGGTGAGCAGCATCATACTTGGATGTAACAATAGCTGGGTGAGGCTGGCTGTGGTTACAAACACCTTTAATCCCAGCACTCAGGAGGCAGAGGCAGGAGAATCTCTGTGAGTTCAAAGTCAGTACCTAGTGAGTTCTGGGACAGCCAGGGAGGACCACACAGAGAAACCCTTTCTCAATAAAAAGAACTCTTTGGGTCTGGAGATGGCTCAAAGGTTATGAGTACTGGCTGCTCTTCCAGAGGACCGGGGTTCAATTCCCAGCACCCACATGGCAGCTACAACTGTCTGTAAGTCCAGTTCCAGGGGATCTAAAACACACACACACACACACACACACACACACATATGCAGGCAAAACACCAATGCACATAAACTAAAAATAAATAAATTATAAATAATAATAATATCCTCAGGACTAAGGGATGTGGCTCAGTGCAGGGTACATTCTTAGGATGTGCACAGTGTGGGGTTCAATCCCCAGTAACAAAAATCTTCTCCTGGGCCACACACACACTTTTGACTATCCGATCACTCACAATAGTGCATTATTGTTCTTCCCTTACGGAATACAATGGCATTGTCCTTCACCCAGGACTATAGTACAGTATGGTTCTTCCCTTCCACAGCACACACATGAACCATTTCTCTGAAGCCCTGCTATTCTAAATAATGGTCCATTGAGCAGTGGCTAGCCCACAACAGTTTCTGGTGTGTAAAGAAGTGTGTACAGGGATTGGGGAGGGTGTCACAGATGTTAAGAGTTAACATTGAGTTTGGAGGACCAACACAGAACATAAAGAATTTAAGACAAGCCTTTGTTTGTTTGTTTGCTTTGAGACTTTGTCTCAAAAAAAAAACAAAAAAAAAAACAAAACAAGGGTTATATACACAGCTCAACAATATAGCACTGGCCTAGCATGTTCAAGGCCCTGGGTTCAATTCCTAACACTTCAAAATAGAGAGTTGGGAAAATCAATGGGAAAGTTTCCTAATTGCATGCCTACTGCCAACAGTTCCCAAACTGCAGGAGCGCTCCTGATTAAGGCTCCTTTAAGGCAAGAACATGTATATGCAGGTTGAGTAACTCAGTATATCACCAATGCTATAAGCTCTGGCATTCAATAGGCAGAGGCAGGAAGATCACCCAGGTTTGATCCAGCTCTGTCTACAGTGCAAGTTCCAGACCAACAGATCTATACTATGAGAATCTGTCTCAAAAAACAACACGGCTCAGTGGTAGGACATTTGTCTAGCATGTGCAAGGGCCTGGGTTCAGTGTTTGGGAGTAGTGTGGTAGTGTCTAGGGAAAGCTACAGGTATGGCTCAACACCCTAGCAAGTGAGTTGTGTTGGAGCCCATATGTGATTACAGCATTCAGGAGGCAGAGGCAGGAGATCAGGAGTTCAAGGCCCATTTCTGCCTCATAGTGAATTCAGGGCCAGGAAAAGCTATGTGTGACCCTGCTTCAAAAATAGAAACTTTGAGATCAGTATGAACCACCAAGACAGTTCAAGACCCCAACTTGGAGAACATAGCAAGACTTGTCTTAATGCTAGGCGTAGTGGCACACATCTTTAATACTAGCACTTGAGGCAAGCAGATTTCTATGCTTTGGGGGCCAGCCAGCCTGACACAGGAAGAAGTTCCAGGCCAGCCAGAACTACATAGAGAATGTAAGGATTCAGGCATTATGCTGGCCTGCCCCTGTCACCTGGCAGATGGCACTCAAGCAGTTCCCTGGTCAGCCCACCGTGATTGCACACAGGTGCAAAGGACCTTTTAAAAGAAAAACCCACCCACTTAAGCTCTCTTTCCTGCTCTTCTCTTTCCCTGGCTCTTCCTTGCTGTTGCCCTGGGGCAGACAAGACATTTCCTGTCTCCCTCTTCTCCTCTGTCCTCCCTCTGTCTCTGTGTCTCTTTACCTCTTTTCTCTTTCCTTTCCCCTCCCCCCTCTTTCTCTTTCTAATAAAACTTCTCACTAAGCTCTGTCTGCCTGATGTATTTGTCCCCGCCTGGGTCACCCTCACCTGCCATGAAATCCACCAAGGTTCCCCTAGAGCTTTATCATAACAAAGAAACCAGGTCTCAAAAAATTAAGTATGCAGTTTCAATCTTTGGTTTTACCGGGCTCGTGCAGGAAAGTATGTGTGCACGTGAGGTGAGGGTGGGGCTTGGTGGCAGGCAATTTTACCCACTGAACCACATCACTGCCTTCTCTTTCCTTCAAAAGAAGTTTTTCTTCTGTCTTGCATTAGGGACAGTCAGCCTTAGAAATGAAAGCAAGTGCTGTACCACTGAGCCACACAGCCTTGAATTAACTATTTGAAGGTGATAAATGACATGGAAAAAAAGCAAGCAGGAGGCATATTTATTTGTCTTTTGAGGCAAGGTCTCCAGTTGTTTGGGCTGGCCTTGAGCTCTCCATTGGCTGATAAAGATTCCCATCCCCCATCGTCTATCTCCCCAGTACTGGGGCTATTGGTGTGTGCCACCACACACCCCCGGCTTTTTCTAGGCTGGGCACTGAACCTGGGAGCTATGTGTGTGCTAGGTGAGCACTTTACCAACTGAGCTGTATTTGGCACTTCTGGACACTGAAAAAGCTAAGTCTCACAAACAAAAGTAAAATTACAGAAGTGCTCAACATAAATTGTCATACACAGATAGCATTCTGTCATTAGTTGCCTCTTTTAATTGGGGGGGGGGGCGGTGACAGAACCCTGGACCTTGCACAGTCTCCTTAAAATTCTGGAACTTTTTAGATTCCAAACTAACACCTCTCAATAAACAGAGTTTGATATTGTTTATTTTGTGCCCTTTTGGCTGTATGTGGTGCACGACTCTAATCCCAGCCCTCAGGAGAGAGCACTAGGAGTTCACAGCCAGCTGGACTTCAGGCGACCCTGTCTCAAAACCAGAAATGAAAGCCAAAACAGCAGAAACTTCTCTTTTTTGACTTTCCCCTCATCTACACTCAGATGAAAAGACAACTTTTTGGAGGAGAAAAACATACACATACGTATAAATTTACACACTCTACATTGTGTTTTCAATACTTGTTTTCCCAAACTAGTGCGGATCACAGTCTTTTGTTTCCGTCAGTTACACATTTTAAGGCTCTTGGGATAAATGGTTGGCACATAGTTAAAGCCATTAACTAAACAACTGTTGAACTAATGACTTTCTGAATTGTCTCATGTTTATGCTTATACATAGCGTTACTATTCACCACGAACTTTGATTCAACTTGTTTTTCTTTCTTTCTTCCCCCTCCCCCACCTCGGGTGACAGGGTTTCTCTATGTATGGAGCCTTGGCTGTTCTAGAACTCACTCTGTTAGAACAGGTTGGCCTCAAACTCACAGAGATCTGCCTGCCTCTGCCTCTCCACCACCCCCCACTGATTTCTTTATTGTTGTATTTTGTTTTGTTTTTTCCATTTTGTTTTAAAGTTTGTTTTCCTTTCCTTTTTGTTTTTGAGACCCATCTCTCACTGGCCTGGAACTTCCCAAGCAGGTTCACTTGGTTGGCTTGTGAGCCTCAGGGCAAAGGATGTAAGCATGAGCCACTAAACCGGTTTTTCTTTCTATTTTTGAACATGGGTTCTGGGGCTTGAACTCAGGTCCTAAAGTTTGCAAGGCAAGTGTTTTAACAACTGAGCCATGTCCCCAGCCTTTCATTGTATTTTTTCGAGACAGTCTCATGAATAAAACCCAGGCCAGACTTGAACTAGATTTAGTATTTCTGTGTCAGTCTCCCAAGTGCTAGGATCATACTGACTCATTTTAGAATCTTAGGGTTGGTAGTGGTAAGACAAGGCCTCACTCTGTAGCCCAGGCTAACCCTGAGCTCCTCCTATGTGCCTATCTATATATAGGTATAAACCACCATGCCTAGTTTAGAAGAATTCTTCCTTCTAAAGCTAGGGGAGGCAAATATTAATTCACTAACAATTGCAAAATATAGCACTTGGGAAGCTGAGGCAGGAGGATTGTGATTTTTGAAGTCAGTGAAAAAGCCTGTCTCAAACAAACAAGCAAAATACATACTACAGTTCTAAGTATGTAAAGGAACCAAGTTCTGCAACAGACCTGGTCTTCAACACTCAAAACAATTTGAAGAGATCTGTAATCTTTCACTCAATAACATCGGACCAAAACAAACAAACTTAAAAAAAAAAAAAAAAAAAAAAAAAAAAAAAAAAAAAAAAACCTCTATATAAAAAGTAAACACTAAAAAGCCTGCAGAACTCTTAATCAGTAAAGTGGAGCTTAATGACAAGTAGGGTGGGGCACTACTTTAATCCCAGTGCTCAGGAGGCAGGCGCAGGCTGATCTCTGTGAGCTCAAGGCAGTCTATAAAGCAGGTTATAAGACAGCCAATGCTACAAAGAGAAAACCTTTCTCGGGGTGAAAAAATGAATTCTTAGTCTGAAACTGAAAGTAAAAATCACCCCTTGAGCCCTTTAGCCATAACCCTTCAAGGGAAGCACCTTTACGTAACAAACAACACTCCTCACCTTGTTGAGTTCTTCTATTCTTCGAATTAGATATGGGTTGCTGGAGGAATTCTCAAAGTAAACATAATCTGCAATCAAAAAGTTAAAGATCTCTTCAACAAACAGTTCACATTAGTCAGGCCCCATTTTTTGTTTTGTTTTGTTTTGTTTTATTCTTTTTTTGGACAGGGTCACACTGCATAGCCCTGAACGTCTTAGAACTTTCATATTAACCAGACTGGCCTCAAGCTCACAGAGCCCTGCTTGCCTCTGCCTAGGATTAAAGTGCTGGGATTAAAAGTGTGCAACAGTTTACTGGGCTACAACTTTCTACATTGGGCAATCCACCTTAGTTTAGTAGGTAATCCAATCGTCTGTAATATGCAAACTCAATGAGCTGTATGTACCATGTCTGTTACTTTCCTAGAATTCCCACTTCTAAGCAGCCCAAACTGATTTACAACCTAATATCCCCCTGCCTCAACTGGAGGTGGTTGGCGCATGCCTTGCTCTGGTCTACAGAGCAAGTTCTAGGACAGCCTCCAAAGCTACAGAGAAACCCTGTCTTGAAAAACCAAGAAAAAAAAACAAAAAAAATGAACTGGCTTTCCGTTAGTCCAAGGTGGAGAATGCCCCCACCTCTTATAAGCTGAATTTACTGTCATGTGTCTCAATGCCCAGCCTTAGAGTAATTCTTTAATAATAAAAGAGGAAAATGCCTGACTTGGTGTAATGGGAGGTGAGGGGTGGGGGCAAAGGCAGGACTACAAAGCAGGGCCAAGCCTCAGCTACATAGCAAGACTTTGTCTCAAATAAATAAAAAAAATAATAAAAGAAAAAAGAAAAGAAAAGCAGGGGCTGAGGAGATAGCTCAGTGGCTAAGAGCCTAACTGCTGCTCTTCCAGAAGACCGGGGTTCAATTCCCAGCACCCACATGGCAGCTCACATCTGTCTGTAGCTCCAGTCCCAGGGGACCTGGCATCTATGAAAAAACACCAATGCACATAAAATAAAAATAAATTAATAAATAAAAAGCATAAGCCTTAAGTCCCAGCACTTGGGCGGCAGAGGCAAACAGATCTCTGTGAGGCTAGCCTGGTCTACAGAGTGAGTTCCAGGGCAGCTGGGGCTATGTAAACATCCTGTCTCAAACAAAACAAGACAAAAACCATCACAACAGTGATAGCCAGACATCTCCATCAGCATGTATCAGAGCTCAGCACCGCATCCTCCCAGCAGCATCCACAACCTTCTCCTCCTATCAGCCCTGGAGGATGTTTCTTACATAGAACTGTTGACCTAAGACAAACTTCAGAGCAAAGAGTAGGTCTTACCAGCCCAATTTCATTTCAAGCATCAACTTAAAAAAAAAAAAAAAATACAGCGAGCAGAGTAAGAGAAAGCTTGGTAACAAACTTTTCCATACTCTACCTGGGAAGGTGAGGAATAGTGCAGGGATACTTGCTGAGAGGCAGGGAGGGTGTTGGGATCTTTTTTTTTTTTTTAACCCTTTTCTCATATTTGATCCAACTCCATTTAGGTCCTTTCTTACAAAGAAATCATGGCAAGTTTTCAACTAAACCTACAGGATTTTTCCAAGCGTGGCTTTTCACTGGAAACTTCCCACTGTGTGTTTACCTGAGACACTAGACTGCACAGTCACTGTCTACCTCTCTCCCGGCTCTCTGCAGCTAAGTGGCCTCATTTAAGCCAGGCCATTCCCCACCACCATCCATCAGGAGCCTCGCTAATGAGCAGAGAAGGAAGAGCAAGCCTCACTCACAAACACGCCACTTATCTGAATTATTATTTTACCAGGAAGGAGGGAGGGAAGGAGGGAGGGCGTCGTGAGCAGGGAAAGTTTGTTTGACCTTATTTCTCTCTTCTGCAGAAGGGCTGAGGAGACAGACAGCAGACACAACGTCTAGGCTGAGCTCAACTCCCCACTTGGGGCTACGGCTCGCCGGGGCCCCCCCACCCAGCCCCACTCTTTGGGGTGAGGGGTGGAGGGGCTGAATGCGAAACCGAAGGGAGTGGGGGGTGAAGCAGCAGCGAAGGTGCAGAGCCCCAGCTTTGCAAACAGGCCTGTCCAGCTGTGCCACTATCTGGGCCACCATCGCCCCCAGCCCCACACTAACACAGAAGCAGAGAAGCCGGGGCGGGGAGGGGAGGGGTGAGGCTCAGGTTGTCCCCAGCACCCCCCACACCCCC